AGGCTGAGTCAACCTTGAGCCGGCGAGATTTGAACCGCCGAACTGCAGCTAGCAGTCAGCTGAAGTAGCCTGCAGTACTGCACTCTACCCACTACGCCACCTCGGCTCTTCACATGCATGCACCTTTCAGTTTGGGCATGCGCGTGGGCGCAGTTTGAGCACTCACTGTCTAAAAGGTTCGCCATCACTTTCTTAAGAGGTAATAATCAGAATACATAGAAACTTACTGGAGGTCCCCGAGGACCAATGATGGACATTCCAGCCTCTCCCGGAGCTCCCTGCAGGGATAAAGAGAGAGAATGTATATGTAGAAAAGAAGACCAAGACCAATTTTTTTTTAAAAAAAAGCAAGTTAGAGATTAATGTTAAAAAAGAGGCAGAAAAAAACAAGGAGACAATGATGAAGTAAGCAATAACGCCAAAGTGAGTGAAAAATTCAAAGGAACAAGAGGAGAGGGCTGAAAGGAACTTGTGGCCAAAGAAATAATAAGAGGAAATGAAACATTTATATAAAGGGGGATTAAAAAGAACAATACATACACATATTCTTCACTGTGATTAAAAGCAGGTTTTAACTGCAGGTCCCTGGGCCTTTTCTAATCAAGACAGGGAGCCATTTTGGATTTAGCCTGAAATTGGATCAAAACACTACCCTGAATTCCTCGGGAATGAAAAGTAATCGCACCTCTTGGTCATAAAAAAATATGACTGGATGCCAAATTTATCTAAAGCCCAATGATCATTCTTCTCCATTGCAAAGTGACCTTGTTTAATCTGGGGTTTAAGAGTAATTAAGAAGCAAGCTACCTTTAAAGGGCTGTGGAGTTTGTGTTGTCAAGCAGTATATGTCTACGGGTGCCTGGGCTCAAAACATTTTTGTTGGTTTGAGAACTCAGCGCTTTGCCCTGTCTGATTTGGGCTGCATAAATCATCTTTTAGCAATGCAATAGACTTTTGATTCCATTGACGGAATGGCGCCTATAAAAATTGTTATTTCTACAGGGTCGTGATGGCGATGCTATGGCACCTGTGCTGGAAGTGGCACACAGAGCCATTTCTCCGGGCAAGCCAGCTGTTGCCTGTTGCTCTTCCAAGTTCCAGCATGCACATGTGCACCGACAAGCTGGTCCTCGTGCGCCCAGGAGTGCTGGAAACCGGAAGAGCAGCTCCCCGGCATGCATTTCCAGTGCACGCATGTCTGCCAGACAGCTGGTCTTCGCGTGCGCATGCGTGTCAGAAATCAGGAGATCAGGTGACTAGTCAGAAACCTTAAGCTCAGCTTCCCAGAGTGTGCATGTGGGCCAGGGAGGTGCTCTTCCAGTTTCCGGTGCTCCCCCGCACACACGCATGAACTCCCATTTCGGCACTTGATACCGAAAAGGTTCGCCAACACTGCTATAGGGTGTGAATTGCAGCAGCCTTGTATCAGAAGAGGAAGACCCAAAAGTCCCATAGTACTTTCAAAGTTTACTTCTGGTATTTGCTTTCCATGCTGTGGGCACCCCGTAAGCTTTCCAAATTTCAGATTAAGGTCTATTGATCATTACCTTTACATCTCCTCTTCTACTTCGTGTCTACCTAGGATTCCTAACCCTTACACATTTCTCTGGTGACAAGGGCTTACTTGAACACTTTTAAGTTAATGCAGAATCAAAGGGGCACAACTGTTCACCATTGATTACAAATTCAAAGTTACAGGAGACAAAATGGTATTGTTATGGCCTGTCAGCCACTGGCCCCTCCAGCAACCGAATCAGAGGAGGAGGCGTGGGAGTCAGGGTCAGCATCAAGGCAACCTGGGAGCTCCAAGGGGGAAGAGGGAATGGAGCTGGCAGAGAGAGAGAGAGAGACAGAGGCAGAGCCTGGGCCGTCCGTCAGCCCTCAGATGGGGAGTCAACAGCTCCCCAGGTCTGGAGGTGGCTGATGAGGAAGAGGAGCAGCTGGGTCCAGTGCCTGACACATTGATGCGCAGAAGGCAGAGGAGAGCAGGGGAAATCCATGGGCCGATCCTTGGGAAGGAAGAGCCACTGCTGCTAGTGAAGCCCCACCCTAGCTCTGGGAATAGAAGGCAGGGGGCGGAGATGAGTAGATGTGGCAGATAACTATTCATCTCCCTGCCGGACAGACTTGTTAGCCAGCCTTGAGAGAGAAACTTTTTGCCAGGGTTGCTGGTGTTCCTCATAGAGGAATCTTTAACTTCAGAGGGTTTGTCGTGTTTGGAGAGCTGGGTCAGAACAGGTATACATTTGCAGAGAGGGTAGGGTGGGAGTATATATACTTCCCAACAAAAGTCGCTCTGTGCTAGCAGCTCAAATACATTGTGCAACTATTCTGCCTTTTCTCTCCATTAACAGAAGTGATTATTGTAGGGGGGAAAATGATGGCAGAAAG